TAATTTTTTTTATAAAAATAATTTTTTTTAAAAAATAATTTATTTAAAATTTTTAATATATAGCATATTTAGAAAAATTAAATTTATTTAATAATGTTTAAGACTAACATAAATTTAATTATAAAAATTTTAATTTATAAAATTTAATTTTTATGAAGTTTATTCAATGAAGTCATTATAATTTTGAAGTGTGCATGACTTTGTGTGAATTTTTATTTCAATTTTTGTCTTGTAAATTGCGACGGTTGGGAGGAACCGTCGCAATGTTGGAAAATTTTGCGACGGTTGGGAGAAATTGTCGCAATGTTTGAAATTTTTGCGACGATTTTGAGAGAAACCATCGCAATGTTGAAAAATTTTGCGACGGTTGGGAGAAACTGTCGCAATGTTGGAAAATTTTGCGACGGTTTTGGGAGAAACCGTCGCAATGTTGAAAAATTTTGCGATGGTTGGGAGAAACCGTCGTATAAAGGATCGCAATATCAAAGCGATGATGATTTCAAGATAACCGTCGCAATTTGTCTGTCGCAATTCATCATTTTCCTTGTAATGATGTCACAAATAATGAAAATGTTTATATGTGCAATATAGATAAGAAGGTTAGGGGTATGGGTGGTTGAGAAGGTCAATGAAGGGAACAATGATTATTGATGTATTATTTAACATTTGATGTCATTCATATTTAATTATTTTTTTTTATTTGTTGAGATATAATGTTATCATACTTTACACACTTAGGTTTTGCAATTTTGGATTACCTAATTTGGATTGAGAAAAGTCATTCCAAAACAACCAATTTTAAAGGGTAAATATGTGTTTTGGAACATTTAATCCAAAATGTCAAGTGTTCTGGTACATGCAATATGAAATGTCATATTGTTATGGACATCCTTTCAAAACAATAAAGATGTCTAGAACACCTAATTGGAATGATAAATATGTGTCCCAGAACATTCACTACAAAATGTCTAACATGTTCTGGAAAGGAGAACAATAACAAAGAAGGGTATTTTAGGCATATATTTATAAATGATAGGTTCAAGGCACAACAAGTTGGGTGTAGGAAGCAATTTTCATAAAATTTGATTAATTCCACAATGAAACCAATAAGATGTGTTATGCATAAAGTACCTCTAGTAGAAAAAATGGAAAGAAAGAAAATAAACAAGTTGTTGGTTTGAATAGTATTGGATTCAATTTTCTTAAACAAGGTATTGAGTTCAAATCTTGTAAATATAGAAAAAATGGAGTTGAGAGCAAAAAATCTTACTAAAAGTGATTTGTTAGGTTCCTTGATGAAGTATAGGTTGACAAATACTTTATACCAATAATATAACTATAAAAAAAAACTTTTACATAAATTTAAAACAAGTTTTTGAATAAGTTAATGAGAGAATTCCTATAAATGAGTTTATACATAAGGTAATTTTACCTTGCACAGAAATTTATTTCATTTTTTTTCTCTTAAAAATCAATTTTGAGAATTTATCCAAACAAATTTTGATATTCAACTTTTTTATGCTCCTATTACATCACCTCAAATTAAAAACCTTTAGCATAACTCAAGATCCATGGGTACCTGAGTGATGTAAATTCAATGATGTCAAGTTTGATATCATAGATAAAAAAAGAAAGAAAGAAAGACAGGGAAGAAAGAAAAAAAACATTAGCAAATTTTCATTTCAATAATATTTTTTTAAAATTTTAAATAAGTATTAGGCAGAATTTTCATATTTATAGTTTTATTAAGTTTATGTACAAAATTATATCTTTTCCGAAGTTTCATTTTTAAAAAAATTATTTTAGTATGTGTAATTACATGATAAATTGCTATTTTATATAATTAAAGCTTGAAATAGATAAATATTTTTAAATATATAAATTATTATAATTAAAATTATAATAAATAAATTGTTTTAGATTTATGACAAAATTTTATATTATGAATTGCTTATTTTAAAATAATAATATTTAATGTAAAATTAAAAATAAAAAATAAAAAATAAAAAATTAGAATTTCATTATTGATATAAATTATAATGCCATGTTATATTTAATATTAAATTAAAAGTAGAAATTAGAAATACATATTTGACCTTATGAGGTTTTTTTCAAAGATTCTGCTTAAGAGTTTAATTTTTATACTTGATTGCTATAAAAAAAATATATAATGCCAATTAATTAAAATTTATTTTATTTTCTAAAGAGTTTAATTTTTATGTAAGTATAAAATAATTTACATTAAAAGTAATTAATATATGTGTAATGAATATTATGTCAAAAAAAGAATAAGGTATTATAAGTATAAAGAACTTTTACAAATATTGTTTGACTAAGTGGTAGTAGCTTGTATCTTTAATTAAATTGAAATAAATTGTGTTGGAAGGAAAATATTCATTTTGTGTGTGCTCACCATTTTGATAGAGATTAGTCACTATTCTCATTAGTTTAGTAGTGAAAAATTTAGATAATATGTACAAAGAGTATTGATATGAATATACCTAAATATTTTAAACAAATCATTAACTCTATATATTTATCAATATTTGTTTCATCTTATATCACATTGTATACTACGCTTAATTGTACTTTGTGCCCTTAAAGTTTCAAAATACTAACTAACGAAGTATTAACATATATATCATGCGACAATATTTATTTGAAAAAAAAAATATTTTATTTAAAATTGATGTGGCAATCGTTTGGTACAACGACCTCACCAGACTAAGATCCAACCTTAGCTACAATAAAGAAAAGGAAGCAAGGATTCGATCGACTGAGGCAGTTTTCAACAAGAGAGATTCAAAGAAGGAGGATGAACATGTTAGCAATGAATTTGCAACTGCTTTAGTGCTGAAGGAAAAGGAGAAGGTGGAAATGGTTTGTTTAGTGTGTCAAAATTTCAACGTGGCGATGTTGACAGTGGTGAAAACACACATCAATAGTTGTCTCGCATAGATGGTGAGGGGGGAGCAATGACAAATGAGGCTATTGAAATCAAATAAACTTAATTTACTTTTTGTAGAAATTATTTGAGATTTTATGTAATTCTTTCTTTATTTTATATTTAAGTTTGATGAAACTTAATTAATGTAATTTTGCAATTGTTACTCTATGTTGAAATTCTTATTTTTTGTAAAAAAATTAATTAATTTATGGGTGGGTATGAGACATGTACAGTATATCTGATACTCGAGAATGAGAATGAGAGACAAATTTTAGACAAATTCTTATAAGGTACGAACTTTGGACATGGATATTGAAACTCATACCTACCCTACCATATTGCCATCCTTAGCTATTATTGGAGATTGCAACCTTACTAAAGCTCTTGTCATTAGTGTTTTAAAAATCGAGCCGCTCATCAAATTGGTGAGGATATTAGGTCAAAGGACAAATCAGTTGATCACTTATTAAATTATATGACTTAATCTAATTTTTTTTATAAAAATATTCATATTATACATATTTCATACCTATAAATTTAAATAAAATTCACATCATACCTTAAAAGAAACCCCCACAAAAAATTACAAACACATTTTAAACAATTCCATAATGTCATTCATGAGTTTTAAGGTTTAGGGTTTAGATAAAACAAGTTCTAACTATGTTAAGAAGTGTGAATTACAAACTTTAACGAAATGTGAATGCAAATGTAAACATGAGATGTCGCAACAAAACATGAAACCGGAGTCAAAAGGAACATTGTCGATACACAATGCGGAGTCGAGATATTGTAGCGACGCCAAGGATGGAAGGTGTGTAATCTACCATGGCAAAGGAGATGTGGGTTTCAATCTACAGCACGACGACGATGCAAAGTTTGAACATGCTCTTTTGTGTGTGAACAATGAAGGAGATGGGAGGCATGACACCATATATAGGCTACGATCTACGACATGATAGTGAGCACACAATTTAAATGTGTTGTTTTGCGAGTTAGGAACTTAGGGTTGAATCTCAACATTCATAATGAACGTGCATTAGTATTCATTTCTAAATCTAATATTTATTTATTGTTTTTAAAATTCAAAATGATGTTGTTTTGAAGTAAAAATATAAATAAAATTAATGGCCTTCTCTAAGTTGCAAAACCTGATGGGTTGGTGGTTTACTTAGAAACCCAATCAGGTTACATTAGGTGAAATGCATGCTTGGTCTCTGATAAGGGGTTGGAATTGGCCATACCACTAGTTCTTGACTTGAGCTAGTTTTTAAGACTATACTTTTCATTAGACATTGACGATGTTTTAATTGAGATGACAAAGTTCCAGTGGCTTGAGATGCTTAGATCCAACAAAATTTCCTTTGAATTGGTGAAATTCATTAGAGGAAACTCAAATTCCGTAAAAAATGAGGAGAAATTAAAGATTCTTTGGCTTGGTTGTAGGGTTTTCAATGCCATAATGGAGACAATAGTAAACATGTACACTATCAATTGTCTCATAAAGGTGATGAAGGGAAATAGTGGCAAAGATTGAATATGAAAACAAAAACGTCTAAAAAATGTCTTGTTGGATAAAAAAAACTAAAGAAATGCTATAAACCAAAAACCTAAAAATAATTTACTTGAAATGTTATTTTATTTTAAAAATATTATCTCATCAATTTCAAATAAATATTGTCACGTCATTAACTTTATCAGACACGCCACAAAAATACTTTGTTAATATTTTGATAAAAAATTAATAAAGAATACAAGTTATCAATCAAAGTCTCAAAGTTGGAAAGCATAAATCACAAAAAAAAAAAGAATAGACAAAATTTTCCAAAATTAAAAAAATAAACTTTTGAAAAAAGTGTAATTAAACCTATATTTTTATTTTATTACATGTATCCCTTCTTTCTTTTAATTCTTTTTCTTTTCTTTCTAAATATATACTAACATAGGCATTTAAGAACTAATAAATATGTGAAATATGAATTATCAGATTTACGAGGTTGTTCTAGTTTAAGTGTGTATTTAGTTAAAGTTTTGATCGTGATAAATCACATCAAAATAAAAACTATTAATTATAATTTTTACATTTTAAACATAATTTTTTTTTTTTGTTTTGAATGGCATTTTAAACGTGTTATCAAACGTGCACTAACAAATGATTTCCATTTCAAATACTAATATGAAAGTGTGCTATGGGAAGGAACTTGTACATAAAATAATAAAAAATATATATATATAGGGTGTCCAAGAAACATTTTCCTATGTAATAATAATAATAAATAAAGAAGAAGAAAAAAACGCTAAAAGAGAGGAGGTGGAGGAGGCGAATTGAGTTTGGGTTTGGGAAAGGTAGAGCAAGAGGATGGTGGTGAGGCAAAGAGCAGTGTCTGCACTTCCAACTCTCATACGCACTCTCCGCAAAGAACCGTTAAAGCCTCACAACAACCATGTTAATCCCTTGCCCTCTCTTCGACGCTC